ATTCCTCCTCTCATACACATATATATCTGAAAGGGTTTTAAAATAAAAGCAAACCCCCCTAACTTGACTTATGAGGCTCTACACGGGCAGATCTTTAGCTACTTCTCCAATTTCATCTTGCACCATCCTCCCCTTATGTTCTGTGCTCCAGTCACACTGGCCTTTTATCAGTCTCTTGTACCTGCCATTTTATGGTAAGTAGGTCTCACACGATGGGTTCTCAACAAGTATCCATCTAAACGGATAAGTCAGAAAGCCAAACTGAAATAGGGGAATAGATAAACAGTGAGCCAAGAGGCAGTGATTCTACCCACCTTTTGGTTTTAACAAGGGGGAGAGGGATATTATTTACAGGGAAATACTGAGACTAAGTGTATTGGTTTGTTTGTTGGTTTAAAAGCTAGAGAGGTTAAAACACACCTAAATGCTGATGGCTAGAATCCAGCAGAGAAGAAGTTAAAGATGCCTAACAAAGAAAGAATAACCAATGGTGTAACTTTTCTGACTACACTAGTACTGAGAAAGTCAAAGCCCAGGTGAAAGTACTGGCTTTAAGCGGCTTTATCCATTGTAGCAGAATTTTTAAAAAGTGCCAAAACAGGTTTATAGATTTGGTGGTGGAAAGTTAAAGTTAGATAGTTCCAGACTAATGACTTCTATTTATTTGTGACGTCAAAAGAGGGATGATGTACTGAAAGTGAGGATACAGAGTAAGGGCTTGGGTTAGAGGAAAATAGTAAAATAAATAGTAAGTAGAACTGCTCACCAGTAGTACTGCCAGCCCAGCTGAAGTTAGGACTCACCTGGCAGAGGACTGCCCAGTAATGCGATATTCTTCAGCTGTGCTTAGAAGCGTTGCACAAAGAAGGTAAACAGTCATCAATGCTTTTTGCCCAAAGGAGGTAAAAAAAGGACTGAGGGCCAAGAAAGCTTAGGACATTGAAAAGAGAGTGAAGAGAGAGCTATATCTAAACTGGACAGACAAAAAGAGAAAACAGAAGAGAGTTAAGAATAGGAAGGTCTGGATAATGGGAGTTGTCATGAAAATTAAATGAGACAATCATATTTATGAGACAATCACTTTGGAGAATGGCTGGTATAGAATCAGTGCTCGAGAAGTGTTTCTGTTATTGAGAATTTAATGCAGAAGGTTTAGATTATTCACAAGAGACCCTAAAGATTAAAGACATGTAGTAATTGACAATCTTGGAGAGGTGAGTATACAGAAGCTGAGTCATTTTAGTTAGTAAGTGAGCCCAGGTGACTGCCCAGCATCCAATCCTCAAATGAGCTTTGTGGTTCTCTCACTTAACTCTCAATGGGGCTTTAACATGAGCTTTTAAATTCTAATTATGTTTTAATTCATTTAACCTCAGGAAACTGTGAACTGCAGTGGTAGTCAGAAAGTTCTCAAAACATCTCTCAATTGTTAAGGGTCTTCTGGACTTCATTAACACAAAAGCAACAGCACTGGGTACCTGCAAGAGTGACTATGACTCTGCCCTGCTTTGTAGAGCCCCCTTCTAGTGTAACAGAATAACATTAATCTAAAAAAAAGTTGGAAAAATGAATGAAAAGGTGCTCAACCAAATTAAATAAGATGCCACTATACATCCACTAGAATGGCTAATGTTATAAAGACTGACAACATCAAGTGTTAGCAAAGATGTAGAGCAAAAGCCTCTCTCATACAAAGCTGGCCAAAGTGTGAAATGGCACAACTTTGCAAACTGTACCACAGGATCTATTAAAGCTGAATGTAGCCTAACCTATGACTAAACAGCTCCACGCTTGGGTATTTCCCAACAAAAATGCAGAAATGCATACATGTTCACATCAAAAATCATTTTGTACAAAATGTACAAAAATATTCAAAGTAGTACTACTTTTAACAGTCCCAAATACCCAACATGATAGAATGGATAAATTGTGGTGTATTCATACAATGGGATATTACATACAATGAAGATGGACTAGAGCAACACACAACAATATAGATAAATCTCACAAACAATGCTAGCTTTAGTGTCCATAAGTTTGTTCTCTACATCTGTGTCTCTATTTCTGCCCTGCAAACCGGTTCATCTGTACCATTTTTCTAGGTTCCACATATATGCGTTAATATACGATATTTGTTTTTCTCTTTCTGATTTACTTCACTCTATGACAGTTTCTAGACTTGGACATCAAGGCAGGAAAGTGGTGGGGGGTGGTGGTGTTGGGATGAATTGGGAGATTGGGATTGACATCTATACAGTAATATGTATAAAATGGATGACTAATAAGAACCTGCTGTATAAAAAATAAATAAAATTCAAAAATTCAAAAATAAATGCTAGCTATAAGAAAGCAAGACACGCAAGTATATACTGTATGATTCCATGTATACAAGTTCAAAAACAGGACAAACAAATCTATGGTAGTAGAAATTAGAATAGTGGTTACCTTTGAGGGGGTAGCAATTGAGAAGGGCATAACGTGGAGACTTTCTGCTGTATTATCCAAGCTCTTTTTCTTGGAGGGGGTGTGTTCGTTTTGCAATAATTCTTTGAGCTGCACATTTATGATTTGGATCCTTTTCGTGAATCCTATACCTCATTGTAAAGTTTACTTAAAAACAAAAGGCTGGAAATGACTGAAAGGATAATGGAGGAAAAGGCTCCACAAGAAGCTGAGGCTGTGGGCTCAGCAGAACCCCCTTTCACCACTACGTAGAGACTGGCTGCAATGCTACAGAGACATGAAATGACCTATATCGTTTTCTAATATCAAAAAACTAATTAATGATAGAGCAGGAATTGGGATTCAGGAGTTTTAATTTCACAGTGTTCTTAAATTTGTATAGGGATGTTTCTGGGGGCCCTTGTCATCCAGGCACTCATTATCCTGATCCCCAAAGTAATGAGATCATAAGGGAAAGCAAAAATAGTAATAACACAAAAGAATTCACCATAGAAGAACACTTTTAAAACTGGTCCTCACTCAAACATTCCTCCTCTGGCTCAGACCAGCTTCTATTTCTGCCACTTCCCATCAACTGCCTTTGTCAGTCATTCTTGGTGCGCCTCTTCTGTGTTATGTTAAACAGAACAATACATGTATAATGTAAATCAACTGCAAAGTGAAGCTGCCCATCTTACAAAAGATGCAGGATTCCAAGAAGTTGGTAAAAGTGTTACTGGAGAACGGGCTGAATAACAAGCAAAGCCAATGACAAAAGGAGAAACTGGCAGATTAAGGCCAGTTAACCACTGTCGAAGAAATTCCTGATGTCTCACCCAGCATCCATTTTCCCCTTCCTACTCAGTAACAGAAACCTGGTATTTCAGTAACTTTATTTCTATTTTAACAGTAAATAAGTAGATGCTAATACTGTTTAAAGCTAAGTCTAAGAAATGGATATGAATCAATTTTTAACTCCCAAAAGCTAAACATACAGTCTCAGACAATCCCCTCCTCCTCAACATCTGAGGCTGCAACCCAGTTGCACCCCATCTATGCAGGAAATGAGGCAAGCTTTACAATGCTATAGTCTACGTATGAAAACACATATTTGGGGGAGTGGGAGGGTTGCTGGAAACAAATGTGGGCACTGGTGAACTGCGGTGCAATTACCTTTCAGAGGCAGACACTAGTTAAATGCACCAGCAATGCAAAGTCAGTGGTGTCCTAAATGTAAGAAAGGTTCACAGGAAAGGAACATGAAGGTATACATGGAAATAGATACATGAAAGTTATGTAAAATATTGAATTCAGGCATTCACAGCTACTTCAGGCCAAAGACCAGGCAAGATATAAAGGCACTCCCACAAATATCTACTGCATTCATGCACAATGTCAGGAGCTGATGAACAAAGACAAGACCCCAGCAGAGTGTGCTTAAAGAAACCAAAGTTAATATCTTCATAAAACTCTTAAATTCCTCTACTGTTGTCCATAGCCCCATCAGAACTGAAACAGGAGGAAAGGGGGCAGGGCGCAATCTTTAAAAGAATGACATAGCCATAGAACATGACAAAAACTGATTAGAACCAACTAGGTCCAAAATGGTGGAAGATCTGACTTCCAGTGGACCTTCTTCCTCATTACACGCTCACTGTGATGTATTAGCATATGCTAAATGACACACCCACCAGTGCCCTGACTGTTCTGAGGTTAACCATAAAAGGCCAAAAAATAGGTGGTGGCCCAGTTCCTGGAAATCTCCGCCTCTTCCCCCCCAAATAGTTGGAATAATCCTCCCACTCATTAGTCTATGAAATTACGCAGCCCATAAAAACGAACCACCCCATATTTTGGGGCCTCTTGCCTTCTGAGATGGCCCGCACCCGTCTGTGGAGTGTGTTTCTCCCAAGGCCATTCTCGCCTTTTGAGACAGACTGCATTCTGTCTATGCAATGTGTATCTCTATAAATAAATCCACTTCTTACCTATCACCTTGTCTTTCACTGAATTCCTTCTGCCATGAGACATAAACTACCTGAGCTTTGGGAACTCCCTGGAGGCCCAGTGGTTAGGACTCTGCGCTTTCACTGTCGAGGGCGCAGGTTCAATCCCTGGTCGGGGAACTAAGATCCCACAAACCACACTGCGCAGCCAAAACCCCCCCCCCAACAAAAAAAGCACCTGAGCTTCATTAAAGTCCTGAGACCAGGTGTGTGATCTCAATTAAAAGAAGGTGGGTTCGAGTGTCTGCCTGTAGGTTCCAGTCCCAATCTGGGTTGTGTGGTTTCAGCACCACCCGATGAGCAAACTAGGTTTCGCAGTTACTTATACTCATGTCCTGCTTTTGTCATGAAAAACAGGACCATGGTCACAAAACTGAAACATTCCCACAAATCTTCCTGGATGCATATTTCTAGAAATAAAGCTTCCAGGACGAGAAAATAACCAAGTGACTTTTCTACGCCCACTGGTATAAGATGCTATGGAATTTAAAAACAAATAGATTCTCTAGTCTACATTCTCTGGCGTTAAAACCCATTCTTTTCATAACCCACCTTTCGCCGACGTGCTGAAGACTTTCACTAATACGCCACACATCAAAGAACAAAGAACTCCTCTTAACAGAGGCGCACGGTGCCCTTAAAAGGCGGCACGGTATTTATCCACGACTGTTTCTGCTCTAAATTAACACGTACAGGAGGATTTGTCTTCTACTAGCTCCACCCTGGTAACACAGAAGGGGGGCGGGGATCCTTATTTTAGAGGAGCTGATGTCAGGCCAGCAATGCTTCTCCCTTCCTTGGGGGGCTTCGGTTTGGGCTGTGCCAGTGGGGTTCTTTGCCCGAGATCTCACACCTTAAAACGGCTGGCCAATGGAGGGATCCTCGCCTCACAAAGAGGTAACTAGGGCACAGCTGTTATACAACCGATACCCGACGCCGAATGCCGGCCCACGGGGCCCCATAGGAGTCAGGAGCCACAGCATCGGCGGACGACGAGGCACTTTTGCTCGAGAACTGTTTAACGCGACCCTCCACCGACAGGGGCTTCGCTGGTGTGCGCAAATGCAAGGGAAGGGCGAGGACACAGGAAGAAGAGGGTCGCGATCCCCGGGGCGCGGGTTTCAGCCGCGGCTGACAGGGGCCCGAGTCCCGGACCACCTCCCCGACGCCGTCGGTCACTCCCACAGAGGCGGTACCTGTTTCCGCATGTTATTCATGACGCCCATGAAGCCCGCCAACAGTTTAGCTTCCTCTCGAGCAGCAAGTTTCTTCTCGGTCTTCTTCTTGCTGCTCTTCTCCGCCCCGGAGGCTGCCATCCTCCGTCAACGCGGTTCACGCCCGGGGCTCGCCGGGCCGGGCGAGGGGTTGCACGCTCCCGGCACGCTGGGGCTTCTGTTTACCAAACACCGAGGCCGGGACCGCGGCTGCAGCGCCCTGCTCCCGAACCGCGCGGCGCGGCCACTGCGGTAAGACAAGGCCCGGCAGCCACCCTCAGAAGCACGCGGGGAGGGCACGCCTGCAACTCGGCTGCGTCTCCTACTGAAGCAGAGCCCAGAGGAGGAGTCTGCGCACTGCGCTCAAGGGGGCGGGGGCGCTATGAAGGGAGCAGGGGGCGGAGCCTACGCGTCATAGCGGCGCGCCGTTCCGAGCGGCGCTAGGCGAGGGCGCCCTCTTGCGTTTGGCGCCCTGCGTCCTTCCCGCACAGGCTGAGTTTTCATTTCAAGTTGGTCCGGGCGTGCGCGTACCGTTCCCTTTGCCCAAGACAGATTTTGCACAATTGGATTACGTGGCGAGATTATCTTTTTTGGATAATTGGGTGGCAGAACACATTAAAGAGTCTCCCATTATTATACGCTCTGTAGGAGCAGGGTTGGTGTTTTCTTAACTGCTGTATCAGAGACTGGCATATTGCAGGCGCTCAATAAATATTTATGAAATGAGGAAAGACTCACATACTGAAAGTTAAAGGTTTATTGCATGGAGTACAAGATTTATTTGCTTGGGATTCATAAGGCAAGAACACACAATCCCCATTGATGTCTCCTTGATGTAGAATGCCTGCTTGCTTAGGCTGTTTTACTCCTCAGTGTTTGAGACTAAGATCAAGTGTCAGGTCCAGAAATCTTCAATTAGGCTTCCCCAAGTGTTCTACAGGAACACGGAACTTAGTCACGGAACTCAGGAGCATGCTTTTTGTAACTATAATAATTTATTCTTTCTAGTATATGATAATATACAAGATTATTTGAAATTGTACATTATTTTACATTTTGAAAACATACATATCCCATAATTTGCTACCTAGGTCTATATAGGAATACATAGAAACGTTTTAAGTAAAATAATTGACACTATCAAAGCATTATGCGTTCTCTTGATGAGAACAAAACAATATAGTATAACTCGAATGAAAGAACAAGTGGCATATAAGCCTACATTTCTACAAAAGAATAAGACATTTATGTTTTTGTGCACCTTTTTTCTTTTCATCTAAAGGTTCTCAGATCTTCTATTTTAATTAGTCAATACAGTCATCGCTGGGTATTTGCGGGGGGGTGGGGGGGTTGGTTCTGGGACCTGTCGGGGACACCAAAATCCATGAATGCTAAAAGTCCCATAATGAGCCCTCTATATCCATATTTCTGCATCAGGTGATTCAACCAACCATGGATCGTGTAGTACTACATGTATTTAATGAAAAAAATCCATGTGTAAGTGGAACTGTGCAGTTCAGACCCCTGTTGTTCAAGAGTAAACTCTAATTTGAGGCTTTAGAGCGGACCCTGGAAACCATTTGCTCCTAATGGAATTAGAAATGAGGAAAATTTCATTTACTTTATTAAACGACCTAGGATACTGAAGAGTGAGTGTATTTAAACATTTTTTAATTGAAATGAAGTGGAAATCTGTCTTTTTACTCTAAGGCCTTGGCAGACACTAAGGATCCATGATTCAAAGGCAGAAATGTTGGTGATGAGATGGAGTGCTATTCTGTAACACGGCAAAGGAATCAAGGAGCAGCATCCTTTCTACCTGATGTTGGAACAGTCCTTTCACGTATTGCAGAATATAGAACACCAAACGGCACGGAAGAGCCTTAGGATTCAGAGCTTAAAGAGACCATGGAGGTTATATAGCACAGAGCTTAGGCACTAGGCTTTGCCTAGATGCAAAGTCAAACTCGCCACTCTCTAGTTGTTCAACTTTAGGCAAATTGCTTAACTTCTCTTGTGTCTCAGTCTCCTTACCTGTAAAAATAGAACCTTCCATGGAACTGTTATAAGGTTTACAAAAATGCTTAGATTGGTGCCAGAGCAAGACAAACAGTATTACTTTATTGAGCTAATAATATTAACTATTATTATTTAATCCAGCATTTTCCCAAACGTGTTCTTCAGAATACTAGTGCTGTGAACCATCCCCCTCTCCTCTCTCCTCTCCTGAAATAGTATCCCTGGGAATACAACTTTGTGAAATAAGTTAACATGTCATTCTCAGAGAAAATCTCAAATATATTTGCATATTAAGTGTTTGGAGGGGACTTGTTGTACCTATTGCTTGAACCTTGATTAGGTCTACTTTGCTGTAGTAGGGTACCTTTTGAGGTTTCTTAGCTTTTCTAAATGTCAGAAGACCTCCTTTTTTCCTTTTGTAAAGATAACTAATGAATGGAGGGATCATTCACCTGGAGGGAAGAGTCCCAAGTGGAAAAGGAAACTGACTGCAAGCTTGGAGGCATTGGGATCACCATTTTAAATTAAAAGAGCTTTAGATCCAGATTATGACAGTGGAACCCTAGGTTTTAGAAACCTTTATAAATATGACAGGCAAAAAATGATTTTTTGTGTTATTTAAAAAATTCCTAATGAGATTGAATATTTTTTCATGTTTATTGGTCCTTTACGTTTTTTGTTTCATGCATTTTCTATATTGTCTATGTCCTTTGTTCATTTTTCTTTTGGATATTTTTTTCTTATTGATTTGTAAGCATGGAACTAACCAGGACCCTATGGGATTTCTAGGCACAAAAGTCTTTCTGTGTCCCCCGTTTCTTGTTTGTAGGAAATAGACTTCATTCAGCCTCCATGGCCTTCCCTGAGTTCCAAAGGGCAGGTTCAAACAGTTACTAATCAAGGAAGGGAGGGAATGCAGAAACAAGAGGGGAGCAGTCAAGAAACAATAATGCACCCTTGGGGCAGGGTCCTGATTCTGCCTCTCAAGGAATATACATAATAATATCTTTGAGCTGTTTTGCAGATGCTGAAACCCCTACCAGGTGGAAGAAGTTAACTGTGTGGTGCCTACAAGCATGTAGACCCCATACTGGTTGGAAACAGAAGGTTGATGATACTGACTCCCAGTTACCTCACCACCAACCAGTCAGAAAATATCCATGAGCTGATCATGCCATCTGCTTTGAACCATTAGTATAAAACTCCCAGGGCTTCCCTGGTGGCGCAGTGGTTGAGCGTCTCCCTGCCGATGCAGAGGACGCGGGTTCGTGCCCCAGTCCGGGAAGATCCCACATGCCGCGGAGCGGCTGGGCCCGTGAGCCATGGCCGCTGAGCCTGTGCATCCGGAAGCCTGTGCACCGCAATAGGAGAGGCCACAACAGTGAGAGGCCCGCGTACCGCAGAAAAACCAAAAAAACAACAAAAAAACTCCTCATTACCTCCTCCAGGTGGACACATAGTTTTGAGGGCATTAGTCCGCTGTGGCCCCCTTTGCCTGGCAAAGCAATAGAGCTCTTCTTTTCTACTTCACCCAAAACTCTGTCTGAGATTCAGTTCAGTACCAGGGTACAGAGGCTGAATTTCACCTACAAGCATTCTTTGTTAAGGTGGGTTTTAGGTAAACTGTGAGATAATATATGTGTAAAATATCCAGTAAGTCATTGAAGACTCAGGTTGAGGATGCCAATAAAAGAATACAAATGAGGGAAAGTAGAATACTGATTTAGAACTCGTGGAGGAAAAGGATCCAGAAGAGGCAAAAAGAAGTATTCAGAGTGATGTGGAAAAGCATGTCCTCCTATGATCCTCACAAGCCATGCTTCCTTTTTTTATACAATTTAGTATGGCATGCATGACTGCAGGAAGTCCAGTATTTTTTGAGTTTTCCTCCCCAAGTACTGTATATCCAAGAAGCTGGTTCATGTCCAAATGTTCATCCTTCTAGCTATTTTTCTTTGCAAACCCAAAACTCAGTGTGTCCCCTTGAGACCAGAGGATTCCACAGAGCAGCCCTGATGCTGTAACTGCAGAATTTGCTGCTGACGCAATGTTGACTAAGGTGCCTGGTACACTGCCTTCTGAAACCTGAGCAGTCTGAAGGCATGCCCTGACCAGGCCATGCGGCTGTTGCCCAGTGACCATCTGCACTGTCACTGCTGTTGCTGACACTGAACCTCAGGATTGCTGTCTGCTGACCCATGCCAACCCTAACAGCAGTGGCTCTAATTCCACCACAGGTCCTAGCCCAGGCTATGGTTGTTCCTCCCTGTACAAAGGAGAAATGCGCAATTTGTTGTCATGCGGGATTGAAACTACAGGGTTAACAGAAGCTGGCGTCTTAGAAATCCTTGAGTGTGTCTTACAGAGCAGCAGATAAGGGAACAGCTTATTAAACCCCCCCTCTGTTTGTAACCTGCCTTTACTAATTAACCTGCTTTAGTTGTTGTTTTTCTTTAATTGCCAACCCTCCAAGCTTCACATAGCCTAGATAATATATTACAGGACTCCTTAACCACCCCGACAGATAACACCTCTGATGTATGTGTCACTATAGTAACAGGTGGGCTTAAGTTGTTTCCCAGGGACCTGGAGTTGACTCTCGCCCAGTTCAAACTGGCCAAGAGTGGTTGGGACCACTCACCCCCAAACTGGCCCTGCCCAGGTGTTCCGTAAATGACCTTTTGACATCAGAAGACTAAAAACTGCACCATTTTTGAACATGTATCCCATGAAGAGGCATGTAATGCAGATACGCCTCTGCAGAACACCGATTACCTCACCTTTTCCCTACCTCCAGTCACATTTC